ATAAAAAATTTTATTTACTAACATATATTTAATAATATTAAATTTTTATAATTAACAAAGTGATTAAATTTATTAGAATAATTTAAATTTTAATATATATAATTTATATAGATAGAATTTTTAATCAAATAATTAATTTTTAAAAATATATTAATTAAAAAATAAACTTTTAGATAAGTCATTCCAAAAAATATTAAAAAACTGACATGTAAAAAAAAATATTTTTGTTTTATTTTTCTAAGCTGTACATAAGTGGATGACTTGGCATTTATGTCTCTTTATCCTCAACTTGTTGTAGGGATTTTCTGGTTTAGAAATGTTTGCTATGGATTTTACCTTCGCCAATTGCCCTCGTAGTACTTTGAAAGTCCTCTCGTAAAGAAATAATTAAAAAAATAAATAAATAAATAAAACAATCAAACTATTACCATCCAAACATGACAACGATGTTAAGCTAACTTCAGCTAAAATCCTGTGTAGGGACAAAGCTTCAGCAAGATATTAGGGATGCCAAAAAAATTTTGAAGAACGTAATTTATTATAAAAAAATAAAATTTGAAAGATTAATTAATTATATATATAAAAAAAAAAAGACCTAAGAGTCAGAAATATAAAGAATTTGAAAATTTTTTGGGGGCCATGCTCCCTTGGCCTCGTATATTCTCCATCCTTAATCCTGTGGGTAAACTGTCTTTGATGGACAAAAAGTACGTTTTCCACCAGATAGGTTGCTACCTTGACATGGTGGCACCTGACGATCAATTGGAGAGTGTCATGTGTAAGGCAGGATTTGCTTGACATTATTTTTCAAAGACTTGGTGGTAAGACTCAGTTGTGAATTTTGTTCATTGCCCATCTTCAAGAAAAAAAAAAAAAAAAAAAAAAGGAAAAGTTGTGAACTTTGATTTTTTGTTATGATTTTATAAGTTTTATAATTACTAAAAATCAAAGTTAAAAGTTAAAAACCAACCATTTATTTAAAACTAGTTTTAACACTATTCTATTTAGTATGGTTGTTGTTTTAAATTTTAATTTTTAATTTTTATAAATTTTATAATTATTAAAAATTAAAACTAAAAAAATAACAATTTATTCAAAACAAATTTAAACATTGACAACAACAAAAATATCAATATATTTAATAGTATTAAAATTATTTTTTATTTTTTAGTAATCATGATAATATATTGTAAAAATATATAAAAGTAAGTAAGTTTTTTTAAGAGTTATAAAATTTATAAAAATTAAAAACCACAATCATATTAAATAAAGTATAAAAGTTTGAACTTATTTAATGGTATTGAAATTAGTTTTTGTTCTTATTTCTTTAATATTATAATAATATGTTAAATAAACATAAAACTAAAAATTAAAAACTAAACTGGCAGTAGGTTTTCAAAAAGTAGTATACAATTAAGTTAAAAATATAGATATTTAGACAATTTCCAAAATACTCGTTATTAATCATTATATTATAGTTTTAAAATATTAATATTTTATTTTATTTAGTAATTTTATGGAGAGATAACGCTTTCTTGAGTATAATTATGGCCACTAGCCATTTATAATATTAAGGTTATTAAAAATTATAAAATATTATTTGTTAAAAATAGTAAATTTATTTAATTTAATAGATAAAAATTATTAATAAGTATAACTACTTGTGTTAATCAGATAAAATATTTGATATTTATTAATTAATAAATTAAAATTAATTAATAAATTGATAGTTTAAAAAAATTAAAAAAATTAATAATTTTAACATTTTATATGGTGGTTATAACCCTGCCCAACTTTCAAAAACTAATTATCAAAATAACACACAACAATGTCAAATGTGAGTAACATTTTTTTTTTTTTTGAAAAATAGGGAATTTATTAATAATTAAACAGATTATATTTGTATTTTTGTATTATGGCAGTATAATCTTAAAACAAAAGTATAACTTATAACATTAGTGATAAATTTAACCATGCACATATTAATATGGACAATTAAACAAAGAAGGTCATCTATGGCTAAAGATTGTGTGTGTAATTATTATATGGGTATAAATGAAACCACTGTTATAGAGAAAAAATCACTAGAAATATTTTAAACTTCCATACATTCTCACATATTTTAATTTTTAATCAAGTAGGACGGAGCCAAAAATTTTAGTTCGGCAGGGCGAAAATTAGCATTAAAAATTTGAGATTTTAATAGTATCTTCTATGATACGAAATTTATTTTTTTAAATCTCTTCTTTTTTTTTATAAAAAGATTCATTTGTAATCTTTTTTGTTGATAAATTTTTAACAAAAATTAGAAATAACTGTATATATTGTAATAAAAAATAAAATATTATAGTAATAAATCATAAAACGATCAATTGAAGAATGAATTAAAAAAGAAAAATGTATTTGTAAATAAAATCTCTAAAAAATTAGGATGAAAAACACTATAAAATTATATTGTTTTAATAAACTTTGAAAAAAACAAAAAAGCATATTCTTAAAATGAAAACAAAAGTGCCTTGATTTTAGTGAAATAATGTAATTTTGGGGTATTTTCCTCCTAATTTTTTGGAGATCATGTTGATAAATACTAATATTATAAAATAAACAATAGTATTTATTCGCCTTACCTTTTAAAGATTAGAAGGAATATTATTCTAAAATTATATTATTTTAATAAACATCTATTGAAAAAGACTAAAATATTTTATTTTTAAAACATGAATTAGGATATTTTTTTATCATTTCTCCTCTTAATTTTTTAGAGATAAAGCAGATAACTATTAATCCCATAAAAAAATACTAAAATATTAAAAAATACTTGAATGTTTCTTTTAGAAAGTAAACTCTAATTTTGATTGATTTAACACAAAAAAAAATTATTATAAATTCCATCATGAAGGGTAAAAATATACCTTAATGACATAAAAAAAATTTGAATTATTATATAGAATATTAAGAAAGAAAATAAAAAAAAAATACTAAAGAAAACAATAAATTTAAAGTTGATTAAATAAAGAATCAAAGTTTTTTTTTTTTTTTTTTGTGCTTAATAGATAAGAAAATGCTTAAGAACCTCAATTTCTAATTAATTAAATTGTTATAAAATTCATTTTATTTAAAATCGTGTCCTTATTTTTTGAAAACATTTTATTTTAGTTATAAATATTTTCTCTACATTTGAAAGGATCATTGAAATTCATACTATAATACAAAATTTTTAACAAACAAACGTTACAGTACCCTATTAAATGTTTTTCAAAAGTTTAGGGGGCAGCCCTTCATTGGCTCCGTCCCTGGCTTAAAGTTAGGAGTGTTCGAAGTGTGGTTTGATTCAGATTTTAATTATTTTTTAAATTAATCTAATTTAATCGATTAATAAAATTTTTAAATCAATCCAATCCACTATTATAGAGAACCAAACCAATCCAATTTAAATAGGATCGGTGTGGTTCGGTCAGGTTGATTGGTTTTTAACATTATTAAATATATAAGATAATGTAAAAATATTTTAACATTAAATAGAAAATGTAATAATAAAACACATTAACATGTAAATCAGTAAAAACATAATAAAAAATACAAATTATAAACGAGTTCTTATACATTTGTAAAAATTGAAAAGATCTAAAAATTTTTCTTGGTTACATAACTAGAGGCACCAAGAACAATAAAAGATGAATTTAAATTTCTAGCACAACATAAATAATTTTTAAAGATTAAAATTAGTTTTTTTTCTTAATACACTAATAATTTAATCTCATCTTTTAAATTATGTTAAAAGTGAATAAAATTTAATATGAATATCCACAAATAGTAGAATATCAAGACTAATTTTATTATATAGTTTTAAGATTTTTAGAATAATACTTATTAAAACTTAGTTAAGAAAATCATAAGATTATTTTAAGAATAAATTATAAATTTAGGATTCTAATAATAAAGACGTAAACCAATCTTGAAGGGATAGAGTTGTAAGTGAATTATAAATTTAGAATTAGGATTAGAGTTTATGATTAAAATAGAAAAATAACTTAAGAAATATAGAGATGTTTTATTTTTATTTTTTAATTAAGTTAATGGAGTTATTACCTTGTAAAATAAGAAAAAGAAAATTTAAAATACTACAAAAATATATTATATTATTTAATTAAGTTATCTTGTAATTGGATTTCATTTTGTAATCGGGCAGTTCGAATGGTTTGAAGATAAAATCATAAATTAAACCAATTATATCGATTTTAAAATTTTATAATTCAAATCAACTCAATTTTATATCGATTTTTCATTGGATTGGATCCAAGGTTTTTAAAATCGGATTGGATCGGTCGGTTGAACTGGTCGGACCGATACCGATAATGAAAACGGTTCGATTTATATAAAAAACCATTTGATGTCAAAATTGGTCAAAATTGGTCAAAATCGGTCAAAAACTGGTCAAAATTGATAAAACCGATGGAACCGATAGAACTAGAAAAACCATCGGTTCAATTTCTCATGCAATCTTCTTTCTATTTTTTCCAATTTCACCCTCACCATTCCTTTTTTATACCAATTTTAACCCTTAATTTTAATAAAATTATAAAATTACCTACCCCTCTCATCATATTTCCCTT